CAGATGCTGAGAAATAAACTGGTTTAACACAAATACTTGGAAATATGAATTGACAGCAGAGTGAGGGCTTTCTAAAGCAAAATTGATAAGCAAGCTGCAAGGACCAGCAGTGCCCACAGGGTATTTCAATTTATAAAGCTTCTGGGAAGGTGTTCAGAGACCCTGACCACATCTAGTTCTGCAATGCAAAGTGATCGAGGAGCCTGTGTCCAATTTGGAGGGTCAGCACGGTAAGGGTCACAACTTTACACTGAACATCTTTTAAAAAATATATTTTTTTATTGTTTTCAGAGAGGAAGAGAAAAGAAGAGAGAGATAGAAACATCAATGGTGAAAGAGAATCATTGATTGGCTGTCTCCTGCACTACTGGAGATTGAGCTGGCAACCTGGGCATGTGCCCGTGACCAGAATCGAATCTGGGACCCTTCACTCTGCAGGCTGACACTCTATCCACTGATCCAAACCAGCTAGGGCATTACACTGAATTTTTGATGGTTAAGGTTACCTATTTGTGGTTGGTCACATTTTTTGATGAATCAATTCACTTGTGCAATTTGTATTTATTTAGAATCCTATAATGAGAATGAGAATGGCCTATTTGGGCTTGTGGAAGCATACAGGAAGTGAGATATTTCCAGAAGCCCAAATAGGCCATTCTGTGTCATGCACTGAGCTATAGCCCACACTCACATTATCTCATTTAATGCTCACATCACCCCTTTGATGTAGCTATCATTATCTCTACTTGCATGGAGGAGAAAAATGGAGGCTTAAGGAGATTAAGGAACTTGATCCAGGTCACTTAGCAAACAAGTTGTGCAGCCAGGATTCCAATCTAAGGAGGGCCCCAAATAACTAGTTTGGACTTTATTGTAATACTAGAGGTCTGGTGCACAAAATTCGTGCAAGGGGCTCGGCCCCCTGCTGCTGCTGTGGAGGCTGCTTAGTCCAGAAGGACATCAGGTCTAATTAGCATATTATGCTTTTATTACTATAGATAATATTGTAATTTTGTAGATCAATAGATCTTTTTGGTTTTTCGAACTCAGGAATGACTTGGTTAAAATGAACAGAAGGAAGAGCTGTCCGGTGGCATAATACAGGATTCACAGGAGGAAAGAACCGGAGTGCAGGAAGATCAGATAGAAGGTTGTGGCAGCAATGCAGACCCTGCAGATGGAGTGATTAGAGTTTGGAACCAGGAAACCTGCTTCCAGCCCCTCTCTACCATGAAGCTGCTGACTGGGGTACCTCAGGCACGTTCAGCACCACATCTCTGGAGCCTTCCTATCCCTCCCTAAATAATGGGTTGATAAATTGAGATGACAAAATCTCTTGGTTCTTTCAAATTCTAAAATTCTGTCTGATGCCTTTACATTTTAATGCATTCTAAAGATTTATATATCGAGGCCCTAAATATCATCTGGGATTCCAAGAAAGAATTTAGATGTCAGAATTCTTAACATAGTTTTCAAAGTGCAAAAGAGTAAAATTGCTTTTAAGAAGGTTTTCTAAACCAGACAAGCCAATTGTTTCTGCACCTTACCGTTTCCTCTGTGTAAGAAAATAATTTGGGTATTGCTGCTGCCACAGTGGTTGATGAATCAAATAGGAATATTACTCTGGAAACAAATGAAATGGTGGAAACCCATCTCTAAGAAATGTTGCAGGCACAAATTGTATTGCCATCATATTAATTTGTTTTTCTGAGCTCATACTTAATTTAAAATGTGATATTCCTTTAACTGGACCAATCAACAGAGTTTAGAGCGATTTTATAGATGGAGAACACAGGAAATAAATACAGTAAATACAGAACATAATCAACAAAATAGTTGGTCTGTGTTCTGTGGCTTGAGATGCTTCTAGAAAATATTTTTAATAAGTCCCTGAGGAATTGGCTCTTGTTGAAGCCAGAATCTTCTCTCAACTCACATCCACAAACTTTTTAAAAAAATATGTATTTTATTGAGTTTTTACAGAGAAGAAGAGAGAGGGATAGAGAGTTAGAAACATCGACCAGCTGCCTCCTGCACACCCCGCACTGGGGATGTGCCCGCAGCCAAGGTACATGCCCTTAACTCGAATCGAACCTGAGGCCCTTCAGTCCACAGGCCGATGCTCTATCCACTGAGCCAAACCAGTCAGGACTGCAAACTTATCTCCATCCTCGTTTGTTATAACAAATCAGTGTCCAGGCTCTGCTGAGCCCTCTGCCTCTGTGTTTCCTTTCTCATCTATGAAGACTTGGGGATGGGGTTTTCCTTCCTGGGTTGCACAAATGGATGTCTCCTCAGAATAACCCAACAGGCAAAGGAATCTTCCTTTGATAAAAGCCATTTACATAATAAAAAACCTGCTAGGGTTCCATCACTTATAGGATGAGGTCTAAATTGTGCAGTTGAGATGCCCACCGTGGCAGCCAAGCGAATGCATTCATTCGCTTTCTTTAGACTTCCATCCTTCCCATTTGGGAGTTTTCTCCTTGGAATGCTCTGTTCTTTCTCTCCACCAGCTCACGAGCATCACTTTTTTTGATTCCATCTTGAAACTCACTTCCTTCAGATGTTTTCCTGGTTTAGTAGCTACTTAGCAAAGAAATAACGCCTACTTTTGAGCTTTCAATCATATGAAATACTTTTAGGATAAATTATTCACATCTAGGGGTAAACAACTTACAGATTTTCATTCTTTAAGAAACCACCCACCAATAAACTAAAAAAAAAAAAAAAATTAATAAAGAAAAGAAAACCACCCAAACAAAATAGAAACAGCAGAATCATAGATACATAGAACAAACTGACAGCTGTCAGAGGGTGGGGGCAGTTGGAGGCTGGATGAAAAAGATAAGGGATTAGAAAAACAAACAAACAAAAAAACCCACAGACAGGGACAACAGTATGGTGGAGGTCAAAAGGGAAGGGGGTGCAGGGGGATGTGGAAGAGGGCACAGGGGGATAAATGGTGGCAGAAAGAGACTTACTTGGGGCGGTGAGCACAGGATGCAGTATGCAGTGTGTCACTGAGCTGTACACTTAAAACCTGCATGGTTTTATTGACCAATGCCATCCCAATAATTTAATAAAAAAAAAAGGGGGGGGAACCACGCCGTGATTTTATTTATTTTATTTTGTTTTTTACTTGGTGAGAGAATACTCCCATTTTCAGGTGTCTCCCCGCCTTAGATCCATACTAGACCTAGAGCAAAATGACTCTTTTTGGTGACCTCTAGTGGGCACGAGACAATCCTACAAAATTACGAAAAGTGAAGGGCCAAGTAAAAAACCCTCCTTAGTAACCCAGCTGGGTTCCTCTCAGGTCAGATGACCGCACCTCCCACCCAGCTCCACCCTCCTTTTTTCCTCCCGCATTTGTTTTGCAAGTCACAGAGGGTGCCTTTACCACTCACCTGTTCCACCTCTGCGCGGGCTGGGCTGCCGGTGTCAGACGTCGCTGTGACTTGCTGGCAGCAGCCGTTTTAAAATAATCCCGGCCGAGCGGAACCCATTGTCCAGGCATGGACCAGGGCAGAGCACAGGGCAGTTCTCTCTGCGGAGCTTCAGGGGTTCTTAAAGCTCCGAAGGCCGGTGCTGCAGCCAGCGTGCGGGGTGGGTGCACGTGGGGGAGGGGGGGGAGCAATCAAGACTTTATGAAAAAGAGAGGATGCAGACGAAGGCAACGAGCAATTCTGTTGTTGCCAGTGGCAAAGGCGATTAGCCTCAGGGTCATGATGGGTCCAGGCGCTCTCCATGTAGGCGCCCTCTTAGGACCGGTGACCCCCTCTCCCAGAAAGCGGGGGGCTGGGGCCGTTCTCCTCCGCGGGGGAGTGGCTCCGAGGTGGGGCACATTGGGGTGTGTGGCCGCCCTCGGAGCACGCGGTCCTTGATCTCCTCGGGAGAGGCAGAGCAAAGAGTCTGCAAGAAAAAAGCAGCTGCTGGGGGATCTTCTCCCAGACATCCTTCAGGCGGTCTCAGACGCCGGGCTGGGTTCTGGACAGTTTCTGGAAAAAGCTCTCCAAACGCCGTCTGTCCCCGCCCCTCCAATCCCGCACCCCTAGTCCTCACCGGCCCTTTGGAGGGGAGGTTGATCAAGGGTTCTGGGGTTCTGTCCAAATCATCCCGATGGCCCCCAGGGCGGAACGCGCGGGAGCAGGTACATCCCAGCCGAGGGGCTTGGCTTCTCCTGCTGCACCCGGGGGCTCCCCGCTCTCCCCCCCGTCCCCGCCCCGCGGACCCCTCCCGGCCGCTGCGGGGGCGGAGAGGGAGGCCGGAGAGGGAGGACGGCGTCACGAGGCGGGCGGGGAGCCCGCGGCCCGGGGCGGGGCGCCGGGGAATCCCAGCCGGAGCGAGCGAGCCCGGGAGGTGCGGGCGGGAAGGGGAGGGCGGCGCGCGGGGAGGTGAGCCGAGCGGAGCCGGGAGCCGCGGAGGCCCCGCCCCCGCCTCCGAGCCGGCTCCTCGCCGCCGCCTCCGGAGCCGCTCACTTCGCTCCTCGCCTCTGGACGGACGGCGGCGGCGGCGGGGCGGGTGCCACATCCGCGATCGCAGGGAGGGAGCGCAGAGGACCTGGAGCCATCCCGCACCGGCGAGCCCCCCGCACCCCTCCGCGTTGGAGAGGACAGACACCCCGGCCTCCGAGGGGGCATCTCCCGGGCGCGAGGGGCGGCGGCTCCCAGCCTCGGTCTCCCTCCGCCAGCGGGGCGCAGAGCTGACCGGAGGGGGCTCCGGGGACACCTTGCAGGTACCGATCGCTGCGCGGAGGAAGCGGCCCTCGGAGGGAGTGATCCTGGGCTGCGGAGGCTGCGGGAGCCCAGGGGTCCCCGGGTCGGCGCAGCGCAGAAGCGGAGCCCGAAGGAGCCCCGAGGAGCCCCGGGCACAGCGGGCCGGGCAGCCCGCGGGCCCCGACGGCGCGCTCCTGGGCCGGCCCGCGGCACACGCAGACCCTGATCGGCGGCGGCTGCGGCGGCGGCGGCGCCCTCGGGCCTCGGGGCTGCGGCGGGGCGGCCAGCCATGACCTTGGGGCGCAGCGGGGCGGCCTCGGTGGTGCTGAACGTGGGCGGCGCCCGGTACTCGCTGTCCCGGGACCTGCTCAAGGACTTCCCGCTGCGCCGCGTGAGCCGGCTGCACGGCTGCCGCTCGGAGCGCGACGTGCTCGAGGTGTGCGACGACTACGACCGCGAGCGCAACGAGTACTTCTTCGACCGGCACTCGGAGGCCTTCGGCTTCATCCTGCTGTACGTGCGCGGCCACGGCAAGCTGCGCTTCGCGCCGCGGATGTGCGAGCTGTCCTTCTACAACGAGATGATCTACTGGGGCCTGGAGGGCGCGCACCTCGAGTACTGCTGCCAGCGCCGCCTGGACGACCGCATGTCCGACACCTACACCTTCTACTCGGCCGCCGACGAGCCGGGCGCGGGGCCCCGCGAGGAGGAGGAGGAGGAGGAGCGGCCGCGGCGGCGGGCCGGCCAGGCGGCGCCCTCCCGGCGCTGGCTGGAGCGCATGCGGCTCACCTTCGAGGAGCCCACGTCGTCGCTGGCCGCCCAGGTGCTGGCCAGCGTGTCGGTGGTGTTCGTGATCGTGTCCATGGTGGTGCTGTGCGCCAGCACGCTGCCCGACTGGCGCGCCGCGGCCGCCGACAACCGCAGCCTGGAGGACCGGAGCAGGTACTCCGCCGCCGCCGGCCCTGGGAGGGAGCCCTCCGGGTAGGACGCACTTGCTTCTCTGCCCGTGGCGTCCGTCCGTCCGTCCTGTCGCCAAGTCTGTGCGTTCCCCGTTCCTCGTCGTCGTCGTCGTCGTTGGTCGGGTCGCGTTCTCTGTCCTGTTTGCCTCTGGGAGGCCGGCCCATCTAGGTGTTGGGGGCCCAGCGATACCCCCCCACCCCCACCCCCACCCTCAAGGCGTGGCCGGCAAGGCAAGGGACGGGTGGATGGAGCCTCACTCCGCATCCCCATCCCCATTTCCCCCTGGCACAAGCGGCTCTGGTGCAACTAACACACACACACACCCCGCCCCTCTCTTGGGTGAATCGCCAGGCTTGGAGAGGGGTAGCTAGAGACAAACCTTTGTAGTTACTTTTTAAAAAATATATTTTTTATTGATTTTTTTTTTACAGAGAGGAAGAGAGAGTTGGAAACAACGATAAGAGAGAGTCACCGATCAGCTGCCTCTTGCGCGCGCGCTCACACACACACCCGGGGATGTGCCCGCAGCCAAGGTCCATGCCCTTGTCCGGAATCGAACCTGAGACCTTTCAGTCCCCAGGCCGACGCTCTATCCACTGAGCCAAACCGGTTTCGGCTGTAGTTTACTTTTGGGCAGTTCCCAACCGGTTAGCGTTAGATTTCTGTAAACTTTTCTTGGTAAGTATGCAACAATTTGAAACTGAACCCGAGAGCAGTTTGTGGATTCTTTGCCCGTTGGGGGTGATATTTGAAAAAATGGTGGTCTTGCTATGGCGAAGGAGGTCTGCTCGACACTGTCCGCACTTGCTATGCACGCTGCACAACATGTACCGTAATGGGGTTGTTATATTGTAAAGGAGACGGACTTATCTATAGGCTCAAACTAAAGAATGGATGTCGTCGTGTTCTTCTCTCCCCTTCTTTCCTGCAAAGTGTGGCGTTCCCAGGGCACCTGCCCACCATTGGGTACCAAAGACTCACCCTGTGGCACTCAGAGGGGTCTTCCGTATGGAGAGGGGGAAAACATTATTACCTTGGGAGAGGAGAAACATCTAAACTGCTCCAGACCCAGAACCAGTGTTTGAATAGTTAATTAAAAAAAAACACAAAAAACTTTACTAGGATGAAAGGGAAATATAGAAATCTTTTCCTTAGATCCTTCTTACCTGGGTAAAGGCGGACTTTTCAGGGAAGACTGCCTGCTTGGGCACCACACAAAATTGCTTGTTCTGTTTTACCTTTGATACTGTTTTGAGATGCCCCTTCAACCCTTTTTTAAAATGAGGTTGCCGCCATTAATCTCCTGACAGGCATGTGCATGTTTCTAATGCTGTCATTTCTCTGCCTTGCTGTTGCAGTGGGTGTTTTCCATATAATAGTCTTCCTTTGGAGAGGAAAGATCGTTTTCTTATAAGTGTGAGAAGTAAATAAAATCGTCCAGTACCGTGGAGTCCATTACTGCTATGCCACGTTGGCATGAAATCCAAGATGCATGCTTTGGAAGGAAATTCATTAGAAAACTAATTTTGTTTAATGTATTAGGTTTTGAGTTTTGAGTTTTATCAATAAGAATTACTTATCTGGTACTACAAAAGTACAATTAAATTAATTTAGATACATAAATACATAAGTGCCTTTGATTCTTTTTTTCTTTTTTTTTTTTTTGCCTTTGATTCTTTTAGTGGGCCATAGGAAAATGATTGGCCTTGAAAGGATTCACTAGTAATTGTAGACTTCTACAGTTAGTGAAGGTTTAAGCTACATTAGCAAAGGAAGCAGGAGAAATGAGTTATTACTATGAATATTTAGGGGAGTTGGCTAAATCAGTATATAAGCAAATACAGTCAAATAAGCTGAATAATAATTTTTTGAGGGTGTGGGGGTGTTTGAGGAGAAGGGAAGGGCAGTCTGGACATCTTAATGTAAAGCATTTGGAAAGAAATAGGAGACAAGGATAATAATAATGGGGGGGGGGGGGGGAAGAAAGTGAGAGAGAGAAAGAGAGAGAGAGAGAGACCAAAAAGGGAAGAGGCAGATGGAAAAGGAGAAGACTGCAAAAGAAGTGAAGAAAGAAGATAAGAGTACTGCTTAATTTGTGGATAAGTATTTTATGTATGTATATAATTACTCAAGTCAGAACTGTTTCCTAGATACGCAGATATTTCAGGCAAAAGCATCTTTTTCTTGGCTTAATGGCCCAGTTTTAAGCTCCATTTGGATGATAGGTATATGGAAATCAGCGTCTGTAATTCCAGGCGGGTAAACCAAGGGGTGATGGGATGACCAGGGGTCGCACATTGCAGAGGGAGCCTCCCACAGCCTCTTCCAACCAAGAGGGCCCTAAACTGGCACTTTGAGTTTAACCTCTCAACTCCTGCTCGCTTGTGGTTGATGAAGTTAGTCTTTATAACACATCATTCTGATCCCTGGTTATATTTGACATCTACCACATAAAGTCAAAACTGTTTTGGCCTACCAGGCTCTTTATGTCACAATTTGTCTTTTTTTTTTTTTTTTTTTTAACTTAGCCCATTGTAATTTGCAAGGATTTTTTGAGTATCTGCTGTGTTCAAGGCACGGTAGGTGTTTCAAATATAGTAACTTTTTTTTTTTTTTTTAAAGAAAAGGTGTCAAGTTGGTGAGGTAGGAAGCAGAGAGTTGACCAACTGTTTGAGTTGAGTTGTTCTGAGAAGGCCTTCAAGGGGTGGGAAGATGGACACAAGCCGTCTTTGGAAGGTTGCAGAGGTATTATTTGTGTAAATAATGTGTGCCACCAGGGAACAAAATAAGGAGAATTTTCCAGGTGAAAGAAATGGCATGGACATAGGCTTGAAATCTGTATATTATGCTTAGTGGGTATGGATCCAGTGATGGAGTGAGAGGTAGATAGAGAGCAGATGCTAGGAGGGCTGGAATGAGAGGGTGGGTAGTTTTATTTTACAAGCTGTGGTTAGTCTTTTATGTGTTTGGGGGGACTTGGTTGTACGTTTAAAATAACATCATGAGTTTTGCACTGTTGATTGGAGGTGGGGGAGATTGAAAACAGGAGGATGAGTTTAAAGATCTATCCAGAGGGAGGGAAGGAGAGCTTGGATTGCTTGGAGGTAGTGAGAATGGAGACGAAATGACAACTCTGGGAGACATTAGGAAGGCTCAAAATTAATCTAGGGCATTGGAAGGAGACCAGCTCGGGGACTGGTGAAATGGATTTCCAGGAGCGAGGAGCACTTCCGCCCCCTGCAGGCTCCGTTTGTCCAGGCTGGCCTGCGCCCCTGCTCCCAAGCCATTCCTTACTGTGCATTTCCTTGCCTATTGAAACCGGATCATACATCAAGCCCAGCTCAGATGCTATTTCTCTTGTGAAGCCTTTTCTGATTACCTAGTAAATGGGATTTTTCCTCCTGAATTTCTTGAGGGATTGCTTACTTGTGCTACTTATTTGGCATCTATAATATCCTTTCTAGCGTGGTCATTATTTTTTCAAATAAACACGTCCTCGCTCCTAAACTAGAAGAGTTGAAAAGCCCTAGGAGGCAGCTAAATTCTCTTATACTATTTATTATGATAGCAGATTCTAGGGGGGGAAAAATGATTATCCCAGCACAATAAATACTACTGTTTATATTACTTTTCAGAATACAACCTTCCAGGGATATATCTTCACTTTCAGAGACTGAGGGGCTGCGTGGGATAGGGCTGTGGCCTTCGGGCAGCCCACGTCTTAGTTGAGGACAGTGGGATCCTGTGCCAGGATGAGAAAAGTCTATTAAATCAAAGAGCAGTTATTTATGATGTACTCACTGTGCAAAAGAAGTAAAAGATAACAATATGATTTCTTTTTATCGGCCTTTTGAAATTGTGGAATGGCACACAATCTGAAGTTTGGAAGAAATCTTGGGAGGTTTTTCAAATCAGTAATTTAAAACATTTGTGTATGGATATGGTCTTTTACGTTGATTTGTTTTAGATGATTAGTAATCATATAAATGATAGTTTAAAGCCCCTAAGCTATCAAAGCAAGCCTTTCTCCATTACCTACCCATTCAGTTCTTCTTTCATGCTACCAAAGTTATTTTCTGTCATTTCAAAGACATTTTATATATTTACAAGGCATATCATATATATTTTCAAAAAACAAACAAACAAACAAAACCCTCACAGCATGATAACACTGTCCTGAAACTTGCTTTATTAACTAACCAACATGTCATGGAATTGGTTCCACCTACATATATAAAAGCCTAAGTGACCATTTGACCATTCAACGGGTAGCTATGATGTGCATTGACCACCAGGGGCAGATGCTCAATGCACAGGCATAGAAACATGGAACAGACTGATGAATCTCAGAGGGAAGGGGGAAGCGGGGAGGACAAGAAGCGATTAACCGAAGATCTTATATGCATACTAGAGGCCCAGTGCACATATGATTTATGTACCGGTGGGGTCCCTCGGCCTGGTCTGCGGGGATCAGGCCAAAACCAGCCATCTGACATCCCATGAGGAGTCCCGGGTTACGAGAGGGCCTCTAGTATGAGTATAAAGAGCTGTCTGATTCTCTTATGCAGCTGCATAATATTCCCTTGTGTAGAATAATTTCTAGATAATTTGTATTGTTTCTTGTGTGTAGGATATGCTGTAGTGAATATCCTTGTGCATGTGCATTACTTTGCTTTCGTGAAAGTATATCCATAGGCTAATTTCCTGAAAGTTAAGTCATATACACTTTTAATTTTCATAGGTAATTCCAAATTGCTCTCCAAAAATATTATATCAGTTTATACTCCCACCAGTAATGTGTGAGGGAGCATATTTCTTCATAATCTACACAGTGTCAATTATACTTTTATTCTTTATCATGCTGTAAAGGTGAAAAATGATATCTAGTAGCTATACTTTATTTTTGCCTTATTTTGAATGAAAGTTGTACATCTTTTTTAAAAAAAAATTACTTTTATTGATTTCTTTTAGAGAGAGAGGAAGGGAGAGGGAAAGAGAAAGAGAAACATTGATGTGAAAGC